CCCAAGTTCATTGTATTAAGCATCTTCCATGCCTCTTTTGCTGTTCTTTTGGCTCCTAATTGTAACAAGGTATCTTCTCCTATGCCTTTGATAAATTGCAGCCAGTGCCATCTTGTCTTTTCTTCTGTCAACGGGCTCCTCGGATTCCACAGCATCCCATACTCCTTGGGCCATCATGAACACTTCCATTTTGATGGCCCATGCTGCGTAGTTGGTCCTCGTGAGCATAGGATACTTCAGCGTAACCGTTCCTTCTTTACTTTGATATCTTGGGTGTTCATCTTCATCTTTATTAAAGATACCATGTGTATCTCCAATACCCTCACTTGTGGATGATGATGCGTCCATTGTCTGCTGCAGGATCCTCTAACCGTGGTGCTCTGATACCAAATGAAGAGTGCAATGTTTACAGTGTGCTAACACACAAACCTATGAATTCATAAGCAATTTTATACATCAAGCATTCATACTGCCATACATCCGAACACTTGCATACATAATAATTTTATATTTCTTTTGATATGATGGAGGAAAAACCGTCTCAAAAAGCACACCAATGCTCATGCTAACTTCTTATAGAGGTTGTATGAGGTGGTTACCTTTGAGTGGATTAAAAAACCTCCTACAAACAAGGTCACGTACACCACTAAATACATAAGTACATCCTACGTACAAACTATATACAAAAAACAAGATAGAAAAGGATAATAACGATAAATTAACAAGTTTATTGGTGCAACAGTATCATCATCGTCCCAAAACTGTGAGGTGTTTTTACGTCGGCCCAAGTCAGGAGAGCCGCATCCAAGCCAACGGCGAGCAACACACCATCAGCCGGCAACGCCCATCGACCGCAACTCATCTGGTACAACGCCTCGGCCAGCAGCGCATCGTCCGCTCACAGTCCTCACAACGGCCAACCAAGAGAGGAAAACAACTCATCGGCCAAAACTAAACAGAGGATAGAATAGCACCCCATCGGCCGCGACACATCGGCCGGCGACGCTGCCAGAACCCATCGATCAACAGTGTGAACGCATCGGTCAAGATCATAACTCACGAAGGCCTCCACCGGCCGATGTTCATCGGCTGTCATCCATTGGCCGGCACCACTTCGGCTGTCACCGCATCGGCCTCCCGCATCAGCCGGCACCCCATCGGCCGGCACCACTTCGGCTGGCACCGCATCGGCCTCCCGCATCAGCCGGCACCCCATCGGCCGGCACCGCACCGGCAGGCTTTGCTTCGTCCAAAGGAAGCTCCCCGGCGCCCCTAGATCGGTAATCCCTCGGCCGAACATGAATGGGCCAAGTAGTGGTGCACCCCTCGGCCAATTGGCCTGGGACCCTTCAGCCACTTGACCCAGTCCTGGAAGCGAGCAGTGGTGCACCGCATCGGCCGTACCATATCGGCCTCTCATTCCGGCGGAAAATAAGAGCCAACTCAGCCGGGCAGTACACTTCAGCCGCATTTGAATACGAAGGAACAACTCTCCTCGTCCAAGGAACCGGCCAAAGACCCTCTCGTCCGACATAATTCAACCGGCTCGATGGGATGGCAGTCCGCGCAACGGCCGGCGCCCAACGGCCAGAACACATCGGCCAAAGCAGGGCCGCCTCGTCAGCAACAACATCGGCCAAACAAATCGGCCAAAACAGGGACTCCGTCCCAGTCAGGATCACCTCGCGGCCAAGGCAGGACCTCGTCCACCGCCGCCCCTTGCCCTCATCGGCGCCCAATCGCGGACCCCCTGTCCGAAGTGGGACCGTCGTCCGTTGGCCGGCCTCACATCCTGTTTCCGCGACGGCTGGTACAGAGGGGAGTCTCCTCGTCTTTGTTTCACGCTCCACTCCTTCGAACCGAGTTCTCCCCACGAATGGAATTAACACCGACTCAGAATATGGGAGCAGCATCTAAAGTGAAATTATGGGCTATTGGAATCTGGACCGGCCGGATATTAATCTCTGGATTCTTAAGGAGCAGGCCCAATCTTATCTCCCTGCTTGAATTCTAAGCAGGGCAGGCTTCGGCCCAAATAAGAGCTAAGTGCCTAAAACTCCTTCTATTTATTAATTTTTAGTCATAAACTGATTTGAAAAAAAAAAAACAAAACATAGAATGAAATATTTTAATAATATAGCAAAACACTTCAATCTTGAGGGGCGAGTCATCCGTTAAAAGATCCCGAAAAGCGCGGACTGGCGGATTCGAACTACAAACTTGAGTGACGAGTTGAGCTAGATTGTTAATTTAATATCATTACTTTTAAAGACTTACAAAAAAAGTCATAAAGTGAAATATTTTAATAATATAGCAACACACTTCAATCTTGAGGGGCGAGTCATCCGTTAAAAGATCCCGAAAAGCGTGGACTGGCGGATTCGAACTACGAACTTGAGTGGCAAGTTGAGCTAGATTATTAATTTATTATCATTGCCTTTAAAGACTTCAAAAAAAAAGTCATTAAGATGAAAAATTAATAATATAACATCAAACTTCAATCTCAAGGGGCGAGTCATCCGTTAAAAGATCCCGAAAAGCGCGGACTGGCGGATTCGAACTACGAACTTGAGTGGCAAGTTGAGTTAGTTTATTAATTTATTATCATTATTTTTGAATAGTGTGTATTTTTTTAACATTGAAAAACGGACTTATTCCGAGCACCCGCGTACACCGGCAGACTATTGAAGTCTCGCGCCACGGGTCACGACAAACGGGTGTGGCGATAAATAAGCTCCAAATCCAAATGTTATCTAATACACACTAGTTTCTATGCTCCAGCATAGAAACATAATTTGAGCTCCAGCTTGAAATTTTGAGGTCATTTAATGTAGGCCCAAATCCAATAGCGAATTATAAGCTCAAAAAATCATAACAATTTTATTTGAATGCATGGGTGCAGTCAAGTGATGACTTGGATTTCATATCGGCCTCTCAGCCATACTTCTGGTCATCTTTATTTGATGAACCGGACATCATATTATGGACGGTCTCTCGGAACCCATCCCTTAGTCATCTTTATTTGATGACTAGGACCACCGATCATGACAAGCTACCCACATCTAGGGATCGGCCTCGGCCATCCCCTCGGCAGACGGACACCGTTGCAGCTCCACCTCTAGGCCGAAGGGCTCGCACCTTTTGCTTCGTTCTGGGGGCATCCGATGTACTCTTTTTCCCTCATTAGGATTTTTTCCCACAGGGTTTTTCCTAATGAGGTTTTTAACGAGGCATCTCCCCATTATGAATCAAAAGGTGTCAACCCTCGGCCCCCGTTGAAGACATCATCAGACAGGCATTACTTTACTCCTCTTCACCTCATTACACTCGCCTCAAGGAGTGGGGGACTGGGAGAGCGGGGGACTTAGTGCCTCCACCATCGAAGAAGCAAAAATTCAAAATTTTTGCAAGGATTGCCACACACACCGACGACATCATCATATCACATACATATTCAGCTGCCACATCGGCCAGTACATATACATAGCTCCCCGGCCTCAAGACCGGTGGTGATGGTCTCTGTTCTGCGACCTTCGACTGAGGATTCTCCCACAGGGTTGCCTCAATCAGGGCTCGCCAATGGGATCGGATCATCGGCTTGGGAATCTGGGCGAGGCGCTTCGACGACGACGACAGCAGTTTACTCACCGGACGACGACATATCAGCACACAGTTCTACTCTCTTTCGCCTCGAGTACTCTCGACTCAGAGAGTGAGGGACTCCTGATAGAGTATATAGACTCGGACCCCCGGGTCTCACGACTATTGGGCCCGGACAGCGGCCCACATACGCTCAGTAGATAGCATTTATCTCATTGTACACTTTATTTATTCAGATGTATTCATTAGAATAGATTAGATATCATTTATTAGCCCTTTATTAGCCTTTTATTGTAACTGGGCCTTCCATGCCCAAACCTGGAAGCCCAGCCCTCTTTTCTCCTATAAATACTCCCTATGGGAGCCATGTAAAAGGAGGATTAATTGGATGGTTGATTGGAATTCATTATAATCACTTTATCTCTCTAGCTCTCCCTTCTCTCTAAGAATTAACACTCTATCAATAACCTTCCTTGAATATTAATTAATTCCTATTCATATTTCATATTAATATTTTGAACATTACTTAAAGGATCAACTAGTTTTGTTTCATATAAAAATTATTACTAGAAACGATCAACGAACCGATGGTTAATCGTTGATGGTTTCACAAGTAAGTAACTTCGGTTTATTAATGCACGGTTGTGGTTAATAAACTTAAGAGAGATTAATTTTGTTGGTTAAACCAAAACCGTTGTGTTGAGGTTATCAATCTCAATTGATTTTATCATGGAATTAAGAGATTAAATGCTACTATCAAGTCAGTATATGGCGCGCGGTGTTCTATACTTGACTAATAGTAAGGGTTATTAATGAACGGTCGTTGTTAATAACAACACTCGATGAATTGGATATATTCCTTGATTGAGTATTCGAGAGGGGATAAGTTATAGATATAACAATGATCGACCAAAATATATCAACAAGTGGAAAGTAGCAATGCCAAGTCATTTTTATCATTGAATTAAATCACATATAAGTTGTTCATCTTTGTGTTTAATTAAATTAAATCATTCAATCCTAAACCGCCCTTTTTATTTACTAGTTTTATAAAAAGAGAATTATTCCTTTCCCTGTGGATACGAACTCTACTTCACATATACTACGTATAAGTGTTAGTATTGAAATTTATTTTGACGCACCGTTACAAAGTGCCCGTCAAGGTCCATGCTAGTAATATATGATCTCCTAAAACAGATTATTATTAGCACAATATATACTATTATTACCAAATGAAAGCTAGTACTCATATATACAACTATACAAGTATGTAATATGTTAAGTACATACGAAGTATTTGCCATTATCAACATTTAATTAACTAAAGCCAAGGAGTATATATATCTGCAGGTTGGGTCGCCATTACCAATTTAAGAAAGAGTGAAACAACAATTGTAGGCATTAACTATCGATCAATTACTTCAATTCAATTAGTTAACATAACAAATAAGGAACCATCATACATACTAAAAGAATGTCAATATCATACTCGATCAAATGAATTAATTCAATACATAATCCGTAGTAATTAAGATTCCAGGAAATTAAATTAATAAATCACTGCACTACTTGTGTTTTTCATGAACAAAGTTAATCATCACTCAAAGTGTTAATTTGTCACATAGGAGGGAGCTGTACGAGGGACAACCATAATCTGCCGTCAACTCGGACGGACCAGATTTGGACTTTGGTCCCTTCCGTCAAACGGAGACTTTTCTGAATTTGGTTCCACGTGCGGGTGACGATGAATGACACGCTGGCTTTCCCGCTCTTCTTCCGCATCTCCGCAGGCTCACTTCACTCTTCACCACGTCACCACCGATGGTCGCGATCAGCGCCACGTCGTCGAGGGAGCCCACCTTCTTGTCCTGGCTCGTGGCCAGCCGCATCTCCTCTTCCGCCGTCAGACTCAAGTCGCTCGCCGTTATCTCCTTTTCCATCAGCAGATTCTCCTCCGCTATTTCCGCGTCGGGCCCCGCCAATTGTCGGATTCCGTCCCTGAATCTCCCCGGCATGGGCCCAGCCTCACCGGCCGCCGGCTGCGGGTGAACCCGCTTCCTGCTGATTTTCCTGGCCGCCGACCTAATTTTCTGGTTATTGCCGGTGGGTCCTCCTCCGATTGACAATTTTTTGAAGGCGGAGACGACACATTTCAGGACGGAATCACTGATTCTGCGGCGGCTACTCCTCTTGTTCCTCGGGACCACAGAGGATGTTTTCTTCTTCTGCGGCGGCGGCGGGTGGAGTAATGAATTGTTGTTACAACGGTTTCGTTCCATCTCGGAATCAGCGACGCTGACGGCGGCGAGAAGGTCCAAATTGGAATAGCCCTCGCGCAGCTGAACGTAGCCTCCGCCTGGAAGCCGCGAGAATACCAACTTCATGGCCGCCATGATCAGAGTATACTCTCAATTGAATAATTGAAGCTACGTACTATAATTAAGGACTATACTTTATATTGTTATAATTTGATTTAGGGCAAATGATCTGAATGAAGAAATACTTCGCACTTACATGTATATATAGAGATTGGAAATGATCATCTATTTTCCCAATTTTAATACGACTTCTTCGCTAATTTCCCAATCTTTAATTTTTTAGTTTCCAAAAACGAAAGTAATTAATTACAAACTCAATCCCAACTGAATTTCTACTGCTGATGGACTACTTGAATTGCTTTCTGATCAAGGAATTATATAGTTATAAACTCGTAATTAAACTAGTTATTTAATTTACTTCGTATTACACTTCGATTCTGAATCTCCCAAGTCCAAAGTGATCGATTTTGTGCAGATGGACTCATTGCTTTTTGGCCAAGTATGATAATTCCTCAGTCGGTGGTAAACTGATTTTTATTATTGCGAATGGGTTTAGGGTGATTTAATTAGGGTGAATTAGGTTTATCGGAAATGATTTAAGTTAGACCGAACTCTGAAACAAAAAAAACAAATCTTAATTACACTAAGATTATTTTAGAAAGGGAAAATCGCATTTCTAGTCCCTGAAATAGTCACGTACGAAATGAAATGTCGGACCCGTAGTTCTGATATTGTAAATGTCATCCTCAATTGTCTAAATTGTTGTAAATGTGGTTCTTTAATGGACCACATTTACAACATTTAGCACAATTGAAGGACGACATTTGCAAATTTGGGAATACGGGTCCAACATTTCATTTCGTGACTATTTCAGGGACTAAAAGTGGAATTTTCCCTTTTAGAAATTTGGAATAACACTAATAAAGTTTTGGATTTTTCCACGAATATTACTAAATTAAATGTAAAAGACAAAAATATGACTCAATTTGAAATTTTCCAAACAAGTGACATATTCGATGACTAGTTTATCGTGACTCGTCATTCTGAATACACTGTAATGACTCTTGTCCAGTTACTCACACATAGTGACTAGTCATATTTTTGACAAAAAACATAACTAGTCATATTTTTTCCGGGAATACTCTGTTAGTAATATACATGCCATTTTTTCTAAAGTTGTAATTCACTTGGTTTGTTTTCAATCTAAGACCAGACCAGACTTATACAGAGCAGACACGACCATCCTTGACCTATACATACAACTGATACAAGATCAAACCAGATATCCACAGTTATAAAACACACAAAGATAAGACGTTTTTCAGATTAATTCAGACCAGACCAGACAAGTAAATTTCAATCCAATTAAAAACATCTTGGAAAAAGCATAATTAAACAAATGGTGTAAAAAAGTATAGTTTAGTTAATGATTTAATTAGTAAATAAGTAGGTGGTACCCGAATATTAATCAATAAAGTAGTGTTATTTGACGTAATATATAACTCAACTCAAATTTGAAGAGTCAGATTATCTATTTCTTTGGGAAAGATCAATTAAAATAAATAAGGTAAATCATACCTCGTATACATATTTTTCATTATGCACTTAAGTTTAAAATATTAGAAAAGTGGTTGGTGTACACAATTTGGTGTACATCTTTCGTAAATATAAATACGTACTTGATGCTAAAGAGTTCAGTTTTCCACACAACTAGAGTCACTTGGATAAAACTCAACCAAATAGCATACTACCTCCGTTCCCAAAAATACTTCCCACTTTCCCTTTTGGGCCGTTCCCAAAAATACTTTCCACTTTCATTTTTTGGACAATTTGTGTGGTTCACATTCATTTTACCTTTTTCTTACACAACTACAACCATTCATTTCCATTTTATTCCACTTTCTTAATAAGCATGTCAAGTCAAACTGGGAAGTATTTTTAGGAACGGAGGTAGTATTATTTACATTTAGGATTTTCACTCACGAAAGGAATCGATCGACTCAACCGAATATATAGTAGTTCATTTTATTTAACTATCTAACATAACATATTATTTACATTTAGGATTTTGAACTTACTAAATGACATTTTGTATATTCTATTTTTCTACTCCCTTCGTCCCAATTTGATGATACCTTATTTCCTTTTTGGGATGTCCCAAAATGATGTTACCATTTCCTTATCGGGAAAGGTTTTAATTGTCAAAGGACAAATATATCCTTCATTTAATATCCTAATCCCCTACTTAACCTTATCTCATTTACCTCCTCCCTCATACCCGATTACGGAGTACGGAATATTCTAGATGCTTATCCCCGTCTCTCACCTCTTTGTTGCCTTCGTATCTCACCTCTCTGTAGCATTCATCCCTTTATTACTCATTTCCGTCCCTCTGTATCCCCTCATTCCTCTTATTGTTCTCTACATGTTCTTTCCTTCTTCGTCAACAATACATATGCCGCCATTAAAGTCATCCTCGGAATCCACCATCGTGTTTCGATGCTTGTCCCGCATCTCAATGTGTGGATCCTTTACCCGATGCCTTGCTCTTTCTGGAAATATTCGTTTCAGAGAAAGATTGAGGGGATACAATACTCATCTCAGGATGTAAAGAATGTTGCATGCGGCGATTAAACAAACCCTAGGTTGTGGAGCGGAGCGAAGCACATGGCGGGTGGAGACAAACGGGTTGAGCTAATTCTACCATGTTTGTTGTATTCTAGCCGATGTGATTTCCCTTCCTCCTCCACTGTCTGTATATCTAAACTCTTTCTCCACTTATTACTTCATACTTTGTGTTGAGGTTTATTCCTTCAACCCGTGGACCCAACACGTAAGCCCAAAGGTTTCGAATGGAGTGGATGTATGGTTATCTAGCCCAACAACTATTAGATGAATCAGGAAACAAGAGTAATAGCAGGCAATGTAAATAGGTATTATTAACTTCGTAATAACTCCCCTAAGTACAATCTACTTGCTAACAAAGGCACGTCGGCCGTTCGTCTTACAAGGCAGTTAGAAATGCTGCGAGTAAGAGTGCTGAAGCTAGTATGCTAAGAATAGAAAGTTGCCAACCCTTTACAATGAAATAAATGCTTCTATTTATACCCGCCAATGGGCAGGTGGCTGTACTGACGTGGCAGCCTGTGGACCGCTGGTGTCCCAACTACCAAATCTTTAGCATTAAATGCACTTCCCGCCAGAATCTAGGTTTCCCGCCGGAATAGTGGGGACGTTCGTCCACCCGGGAAGTGAGTTGGATTCCTCCAAGTGACCCTTGAGGGATATTGGCTGTTCGTCTCCTGGCCTTGATGGATTCTCACCATGTGGGCTGGGTCTCCTCCGGTGACTATGGGCTTGCTCAGGAGACGTTCGTCGTCACCCCTGATGGCCCGTGGCTCCGCTCCTTGTCCCTGCTTAGACGTTCGTCGGGATGAGCCGCTGGGCCTGAGTCCTCCAACACCAGACGTTCGTCCATGCTTAAAGTACATGGGCCTGTGGGCTGGCCTAGTTTCTAGCTGGACGGTCGTCTGGCAAAATGGGTTAGTGGGCCGGACCTCGGCTTGGGCCCTTAACCCAACACAAGTCCCCCACTTCTGATGTTCTGAGCATGCGCAGGACATAAGGAAGTATGAACCTCCCCGAAGTAGACGTCCGTATTTCGGCACTTGTGTTCATTGCATCTTGGCGGAATCGTACGCTCGTGGCCATGGCGCTTGACAGCTGTTTGACGGTTCAGGAAACGAGGTGACGGCTGATGTTGCGGCGGCGCATTTTCCCGAGGAAGTGTCATCATTACGTTCCCACCCCACGCACAGCGCGTGGGCCGGAATACGCTCCTTGCCACGTGTCAGCCCCTCGTTGGCTTCTCCATCGGCGTTTCCCTTATAAATGCTGGGTTTGCCCTCTGAATTAGGGTTCCCAATTTCTGCTTTCTTGCTCTCAATTTTCCGCAGCTCTTCAAGTTCCCCGAATTCGGCCAACCATACCTTTGTAAGGTAATTTCCCCCCTCTGCTTCTTTTCTTTACCCTGATTTCTAGCCGAAATGACTTCGATGGAGATTTCCTCAAGTTCTGATTCCAGTTCATCGGGTTCCTCCTCGGGCTCCTCTTCTGACAATGCGAATGCACGCTCCCTGGGAAAAACTAGCGTCTCCGGAACCTCGGGTTCGGCCACGACCGTGGGGACCATCCGGGCTGATGGCGAGCCGGATGACGTGTCCCAAGATAGCGGGAGCGACGCCGGGGGCGGGGGCGCTGACGGGGCAGTAGATGTTATTGACGCAGTCCCCCTGAATGAGCGTCCTGCTGACTATGATTCCGGAGAGGAAGCCGAATCTGGTTCTGATGTGGAGGTGTATGATCTGGGCATCCCCACGGATAGGGAGCGCCACATCTGCCCGATCAGGAGTGTACTTGACCATGACCAAGTCCTCTCCCGCGTGGCCCTCAATAAAATCCGTACCTTCCTCCCCCCGCCGTTCGTCTGGAGTGTGAGAGGTGCTGAGCATGTGATGAGGAGACGCCCGGGGATGATCATGCTTCACCTGGACTCCGTTGAAGCCGGGCTGCGGTTTCCACTGCACGCGTTCTATGTGGAGTTCTTCCACTGCTTCCAGGTGGCCCCGGCGCAATTCATGCCAAATTCTTACAGATTCATATCGGCATTCTTGGTGCGCTGCAAACTTGCGGGGGTCGATGCCACCCTGGAGCTCTTCCATTATTTCTACCGCGTCACTCCTCAGAACGCCGACGGGTATCTGAGTGTGGCCGCACGTCCTGGGAGGCGGCTGTTCAAGAACTACCCTTCGTCCATCCACGACTGGAAGAACCGTTTTTTCTTCCTTCGATACGACGGGCCTCCTCTCCCTCTAGACTTCTCTTTTGATCGTGTCGGAAACCTCGAATTCCAAGGTACCGTTCGTTGTCATGTCTTCCGAAAGTCGTTTTGATGATGGATGTTCTTCCGGTGATGACTTGGAGTATTATGAGCGGGGAATGCCACCCCGGCCTCCCCGTTACAGCCTCAACTTCTCATGCGTCCGGCGTCAAGTTCAACGCCTGACGAACGCTGACAAGCGATTGATCAGTCAATGGTTCTATCCACCAAGGACCTACGACGATCG